GATAAGAACCATCAGAATAAAGAAATGTCCGATTCTGAATAATTGTTATTCAAACCATCAATTACTAATTCATTACCAATCCATATAAGCTAATGCAATAAAAGGAAGCTTTTGAATTCCTGCCATACATTCATAATCATTATTTAATCATTAGCATCTGCATTTGATATTTCGAATAAAGACGTAAATTGTATTCTATGATGTATATATTTTCTACCCAGCAGGATTTTGTTGACCGTGAGCTCCCGCCCACCTTCAGTAGGGTATCTCGTATCTGAAATTATTTCGAATATCGTCATCGAATTCTTTTTTTGCTCGTTCCCTCTCGTTTACGTCAAGCTATATATTGAGTCCAAGACACCCATATTTTCATATAGCAGAATTATTAACATATTTGTTTTTCACTCATACTGTGTCCTCCCGAGTTTTTTCACTTAGGGGAGTCTGTTTTCTTGGGTTCTAAACGAAGGCGTTGTATATAAATATATAAAGAAAAATTTTAGGAATAAAAAAAAGAGCTGTTGTGTTTGATACGAAGAGATGGATTTGTCTAACAGAGGAAATGGATCGGGCGACGAAGAAAACTGCAACTCACGAGAGGGCAAGAAGCAATACCACCGTCACACTACCGAACAAATTCAGCAGCTCGAGGCGTACGAATAATTTCTGTCTAAATAATTTTATTCCATTTACATTTCGATTTTTCATAAACCTTCATTTGCATGGCTGAAAATTTCTCTGTACATTCGAAAGACACGACACTTGAAATAGAATTTCTCTATATAATATTTTTCCGTTTCCCGATTTATGATATTTACGCAGTTTCTATAACGAATGTCCGCACCCGGACAAGAACCAGAGGCAACAATTGAGCAGAGAACTCGGCCTTGACCAAAAGCAGATAAAGTTCTGGTTTCAAAATAAAAGAACTCAGATAAAGGTGCTTTATTCTTTATACAGAGCACGCAAATATTTTTCTACGGTCGTTTTACGACGATTTATTTACATGTTTCTATATTATGTTTTGTAGGCTCAAAACGAGAGAGCAGACAGCAATTCCCTCCGCTCGGAGAACGAAAGAATTCATTTCGAGAACCTTTCGATGCACGAGGCTCTGAAAAACGCCTTTTGTCCCTCTTGCAATAGCTCAGGCGTTTGTGAAGAAGAGAAACGCGAAAATCTGCAGAGATTGAGAATCGAAAATGCACGTCTGAAAGAAGAGGTGTGATTGATCGATCGATATATTATATACTAAATAATCGAGATCTTTATATTTTGCACATGAAAAGTTTCGTCGTTTTCCTTATGTCCGAGTTTATTTAATTGCACGAGTAGAAGCATATATTCAAGAAACATGTAATCACTACGAGATTACTTATTTGGGACATTTATTAATTATCGATTTTCGTAAACCTTTTCTTTCAGCACGAACGAGCGGTCAACTTCTTAACCAATTACATGGGAAATCTAATTCTGCCTTCCGTTGGAACGGAGCCCAGTGCTAGTGCACCTGGTCAACAATATATGTCACAACATTGGTCAACAAGTGTGACGCATGTGGATAAATCTGTCATTATCGAGACAGCTGTCGCTGCAATGAACGAACTTCTTGAGCTGTTACGTGTGAACGAGCCACTGTGGTTCGAAGCTCCATCGGATCATGGGAGATATACTTTACGTCGGGATAGTTATGATATGATTTTCCCCAAGTCAAACCAGGTCAACACTTCTAGTGCTCGGTTTGAGTCTTCGAAAGATTCGGGCGAGGTGGCAATGTCTGCCACACATTTAATCGAAACGCTTGTTGATGTGGTATGTATGCTACACATTGGAGTTGTGTGTGTGTGTTTTTTTTTTTTTTTTTTTATTTTTTTTTTTAAATCTAAGTGAAAATTTATTTGCTAATAATTTGCAGAACAAATGGAAGGAAAATTTTCCTACTATCGTCACAAAAGCGACGACCCTTGAAGCGATCGATACTGGAATATTTGGTGGTTTGTTACATTTGGTAAGGACCTCAAAAAATCCATATTATTATTATTATTATCATTGTTTTTTTGGGGATATCTGAATGGATAAAAAATTGAATGTTTTGACTTATTTTGGTGCGCAGATGTATCAAAAAATTCACATTTTGTCGCCTCTTGTTGCTCCCCGGGAATTTTTCTTCATTCGATATTCCCGCCAAATTAATTCGAGCACTTGGGTGTTGGTGGACGTGTCCTACAATTTCATAACACAGCTCCAAGATTCCGTTCCCACTCGTTCTTGGAGGTTTCCTTCAGGGTGTATTATTCAAGATATTTCAAATGGAAAATCAACAGTGAGTTCTCTATATAAAAACCCATTTGTTTCTTTTTAAGTGCATCTTTATCTCATATTATGTGTCGATTTAGAGTTTCGAGGCAGAACTCATGGGTGTTTTTTAGCAATTCGATATAATACGGGGTGCCGAATGCTATTAACTCTATACTTTTTACGCTGTCTACATACTGAATATCAATTTTCTTGAATAGGTTACATGGATTGAACATGTGCAAGTGGACGACAAATTATCGACTCATCGTCTGTACAGAGACTTCGTTTGTGGTTCTCAAGCATATGGAGCCAAACGATGGATTACTACTCTTCAAAGAATGTGCGAGAGATTTGCATTCTCAAATGGGCTAATCGCCACACCTACAAACGAACTCGAAGGAGGTATATTATTATTATATTATTATATTCCGACGACTTCGATAAATGGAAATTGTAGTTAAACCCGATAATTACTATTTCCTTTCATTTGTCATTCAGTTATCGAGTCACTTGAAGGAAAGAGAAACGTAATGAATCTTTCCCAAAGAATGGTGGAGAGTTTTTTCGAAGTATTGTGCATGTCGGATAAACTCGATTTTCCGAATCCGTCGGAATATCAATATAGCGGAGTTTGTGTCGCTCTCCGAAAAAGTGACGGACCTCATCAACCTGATGGATTCATCGTTAGCGCAGCTACCTCGCTTTGGCTTCCCTTTTCGAAGGAGCATCTCTTTAACTTCTTCCAAGACGAGAAAAGAAGAGCTCAGGTACGTAACAAAAAAAGTTACCGACTTTTGTCTCGATTGTCAATTTGCAACTTTTTTTTCTTTTAATTAAATAATTGGACCTTATAAGATTATGTAATCTTGTCCTGACTAATCCTATCTTGGCAACCAAACGATGCCTTAATGGATTGGAAATAATATTGAAAAACTAAAATGTGTTTTTATCTTATGTGCAGTGGGATGTCTTATCCAATGGGAGTCCTGTAATTCCTGTTGCACATATCTCAACCGGGACACGTCCCGGAAATCGTATTTCCATTATCCAGGTTAGTTACCGATTTATTTAATTAATTAATTTATTATTTGAAGGCCGATAAATGTACCATAAGCTTCTGACTCAATGTGATCTATAGAATGAAAATAAAATTAATTAGTGCCCTGATAAAAGCTGGGGTGCTATGTCCGTTTACTCGTAATTTGATTTTGAATGGCGTATAATTTGATTAAGTGTTAATTTATCATAAATTTGCACTAAAACTTGAATCAATATATTTATTTACGTGTGCACGATTAGTTAAAATACGACACAGAATTTATGTAGCACGCAACTAGCACAATAAAGTCGTTAATTTATCATAAATTGTCATCCCACTGCATTTGCACTACCGAAACTGGAACTATTGTGCATTGTTAGTGTAGACACGACGCAATTTATCGAGCACACAATTAGCACTATAAAGTTTATTGAATAATTTGTTATTACAATTATTATCTTTTTAACTTCACTTTAATATCATTGAATTTTTTTTTTTTTTTTTAAATATGCAGCCTTTTGTACCCAAAGAAAACAAGATGTTGGTGCTGCAAGAGAGTAGCATCGACTCACTAGGGGCAGCAATAATCTACGCCCCGATGGATTTAAAAGCTCTCCTCTCTGTGGTGAATGGGGACGACACAATGAAAATACCGATTCTGCCGTCGGGTTTTGTGATCTCTACCGATGGCCGTGCTAGCAGCAGAGGCACCAACGGAGCGTCAACCAGTTCCAACACCGGTAGCGGTGGCTCGCTTCTCACAGTTGCTTTCCAGATATTAATTTGTCACAGCCAATTGACATCGCAACTGAATATGGAGTCGGTCGCCACCGTGCATACCCTAATCAGCTCCAGCATTAAAAAGATCAAAGAGGCGCTTGATTATTATGATTAATTTCGGATTTTATCTTCTTGATTTTTTTTTCCTTAAATCATACTTTATGTTTTGCTTGTTTTATTTTTATACTTAAATCAGTTACTAATATTCATATATACAGTCGAATTCTTTTTGCACATGAAAAGTTTTGTCGTTTTCCGTATTTAACAATTATTACAACTCCTTGCGATCGAGTTTATTTAATTGCACGAGTAAAATCATATATTCAAGAAACACGCAATCAGTACGAGATGCTTATTTGGGACATTTATTGATATCGGTTATCGTAACACTTTTTTTTTGCAGCACGAACGAGCGATCGACTTGTTCACCAATTATATGGGAAATCCAACTTTGCCTTTTGCTGGAACATAGCCCTTACAAGCACACCTGTTCAACAATATATATCACTGCATTGGTCAACAAGCGTGACACACGAGATGGATAAATCCGTCATTATCGAGACAGATGTCGCAGACATGAACGAACTTGTGGAGCTCTTACGTATGAACGAGGCACGGATCGAAGCTCCATTGGGTAATGGGAGATATACTTTGCATCGAGATAGTTATGATAAGATTTTCCGTTGGCAATAGTTTCTCCGTTTTTTTACTGGATAGAACAAAATTGTTTGTTGCTGCAAAAGACTTCTGATTTTGAACAGCTTATAAGTTGATTAAATGTTAATTTATGATAAATTGATATCCACTACATTTGCACAACTCAAACTGGAATGGACATAAATATTTGTGCGCGAGGTTAGTTCGAACGCGGGCAATTTATTTAACGCGGCGCAATTTATTTAACACGCAATTAGCACAATAATGTTGTTAATTTATATTATCCACTACATTTGCACTACTAAAACCAGAACGGATACAGATACGTGTATGCGTGCACTGTTTGTTTAAATACGGCGCAATTTATTTAGCATGAAATCAACACTATAAAGTTTATCAAACAATTTGTTATTATTATTGTTATCGAACTAATTTCTTCATATTTGCAGCCTTTTGTAGCGAAAGAAAACAAATTAGCATCGACTCTCTAAGGGATGACGCAAGGGAAATACGGATTTTGCCCTAGGGATTTTTGATTACGTATCGCCCGGAAATTATGTTAAGCAAATGATTGCAATATTTAGCGTTTACGTATACTAAAATAGGGGTGTGTGTGTGTGTTTTTGTGTGCGAATAATGATAACCATTTACTCGGTGTATTTCATTTACTTGGTGTAATATCAAATAAACCGGTGCTATATGCGTTACTCGGTGTTTTCATTGGTAGTGCAACTACCTCCTTCCTATTTCGAAAGAGAATCATCTTTTTAACTTCTTCCAAGATGAGAAAATAACAATAAAAATACATAAAAAGGTTACCGACTTTCGTGTTGATTGTAAATTTACAATTTGTTTTGTTTAGTCCTCGTTTGGTTATGCAGATCAGCCCTGGGTAATTGTTAGATGTTTGATTGGATTGCACAAGAGTAGATAATCTTATCTTGACTAATCATGGATTGGCAACCATACAAGGTTTTAATGGACATCATGTACTACTTATTCATAAAGGGGTGCAGACAAAAAATTCTTTAAAAAAAATTCAAACAATGTCATATTTTAATAGGCTCCAATTTCATCATTTAAATCAATTTAACCTTAATTTGACATCAACTTTCATCAATAATTCAATTTTGACCCATAATCCAATTTTGACTACAATTTCGCCCGTCATTGTCGGTTCCGGCGTTGAATTTTTTATTAATATTATTATTTTTTCCCGCCACTGATTGGCGGCGTTGACCTTTTTTTTTTGCCCGTTTAAACAGTAATATTGTTGTGGTAGACAGTTATATTAACTACACTACTACTTGTTTTTTGATTAAATTCAAGTCATTTGGGGGGGACTCGAAGGCCTTTTACCCTATTGCAAAGGCTATGTACCAACTATGCTAATAAGGGTTGATAACTATATTACTGTTTAACACAGTATTATTAACTATATTACTGTTTAACACTATAATATGATATATTACTCTCTAGCGCAATAATATCAACACAACAAAAATCACTATTATTGTGTAATAGAGTAATATTAATATGTCGACCGTTCAACAAAAATAAACATAATAGAAAATCAAAATAATTAATGTTGATGAGATTGACCAATAATATTATTGGAACGACAGTAATATTACCGTCAATCACAGTAACATTATTGTGTTTACAATAATATTACTATAGTAGACAGTAATATTATTACGTTAATCGGTCAATAAACCAAACAAAATAAAAACCAAAACAAAAAAATATTGATGTGGTTGACAGTAATATTATTGTGTTTACAGTAATTTACCGTCAACGACAGTAATATTATTACGTTGACACGTCAACAAATCAAGCAAAATAAAAAAAAAGCCAAAAAAAAAAATAATATTGATGTGGTTGACAGTAATATTGTGTTTACAGTAATTGTACTGTCAACGACAGTACAATTACTGTCGGCGAGGAGTCCCATCTCCTCGGCAACGGACCTGAATCTGCCCTCCACAAATTGGGGCAGATCATCCAACGATCTTGACAAACGATCGAGTTCTTGCTTCCCATCAGCAAGTCGTTGCAAGATTGGTGGATCCGTTGGATCTAGGGGCGGTCCAACCAAGGCTTCAAGACGTTGCATCCTTGATTCCATTTCTAGTATCATCACATGAGTAGGATTTGGATTTGTCGAAGATCTAGAATCTTCAGCCATTCCGAACATTAACACATTCAGAACCCTTGAACCAGGCTCTGATACCAACTGTCACAGGGGTTTCTTTGATTAAGAAATTTTCGCCCGTGCGGCCTGATTTGCCCACCAAATCAGTCAGCCTTCCTCTCGATTCTCTTCGAACAAAACGCACAAACACGAGTCTTTTAAGTCAACATAAACAAACACAAGAGTATGCAGCGGAAAACAACACACAAGCACGTTTACGGGCAAAGCCCAACCTTTATATTAATTTCTCACAAAGAATACAAAGGAGACTAAGGTGCACACACAAAATCCTCACTCAGAATGCCCACAATTGCAATCCGAACTCTCTAATGCTAGATGGGTCGGGTTTGTGCACTCATAGCCATATAAATACAAGGAAGAAGGTAATTTTCACATAAAACTACCTAGGGACACTTTGCGGCATACTTGCTTGACACTTGGCTAACTATTACAAGTAATAAGGGGCAGTTTTTCATGCTTTCCAGGCCTCAACCGCTCTGCAACTTCCCTCAAGACCGCTCACATGGCTGGTTTTCGAGGCCCATCTTGATTGGGTGCGCGCGTGCGCACCAAACGGCTCAAAACAGCCCGGCCGGTTGCTAGGCATCTGCCTTGCCTTTTCCGCACATTTTGCTTGCCTTGCCAATTACTTGCCAGTTCTTTGCCCACACGGTCATTAGAATGCCCGCACATCGGGCTGCCTTCTTTGACTTGCCAACCGGTCGTGCCAACTTGCCCACACTTGTCAAGTCGTGGTCGATTTCCTTCGAACGTTCGTTTGCCCAAGTTCTCGGCCACATGCCGGTTACTGCCCACGCTTGTCCGCATTCGCTGCCGAGCAACGCCCGTGCCAGCCGTAAGTACTTTCGATCACCGTTCCCACTTGGATAAAGTCGTTCCTTGTTTTCTCGGACAAACACCCCAAATTCTTGCCCAACACTCGACCACTCATTGGCCGATTGTGTGGCTGTCTTGTGCCAATTCTTGCTTGGCATCATTTCTTGGCCATGACTCGGCCACACTCGAGTCATAGCCGATGTCACCGACTAAGGGGGTAACATTAGCCGTAGTGCTGCATGGGGTGACGGTTAGTGCTGCGACCTCCGCGATGATTGAATCGGCCACCCCCGCGCTGATAGTGCGAAGAACCACCTCCGCGGGAACTGTTGCCACTGTTGGATGGACAGTTCGCATTGGAGGCCTAGAAAACAGCAACAGCCTGATCCTGTAGCGATGAAAGAGTGGACGAGTATTCCTTCGGAACTTGGCGCATGGCCGCAACCAGTGTTCTAAAAATCGGCCGAGGCGGCCGATTAATCGGTCTTCGAGGCGGAGGCGGTCCAAAACCTTTACGATTTTGGTGTAAAGGTTTGAAAAATCGGGTTTTTGCCTGTGAGGCGGTTTTAGGCGGTCTGAGGCGGTCAAACCTTTAAGGCGGGTCAAACTCGGTGGCAAAAATCGGTCAAAAATCGGTCAAAAATCGGTTAAAATCGGTTAAAATCGTTTTTTTTTTTTTTTTTTTTTTTTATAATTCAAAATAAAAGTTGGATTTTAATAAAAAAAAATAGGAGTTTATGCCTTATTTTGTTTATGTTAATTGTTATTGTTAAAGAACTAATGATGTATGCCACGAATGTTCAAGAATAAATGTAAATTAAAAAAAAAAAAAAATTATATTTATAAGGATATTTATGTATTATGATCTTATGATTATTAATCTTTTATTATGTTATTAGGATATATACATGATGGAGATATAACTATGTTTAAATATTTTTTTATATATGTTTGGAGTATTTATAAATAGTTTTTAGAAATATATTATATTAAATTTTAAAAACCGATTTATTTCCGATTTATCACCGATTAATCACCGCCGCACCGATTAATCGTGAGTCGGTGCCTGACCGACTCGGACCCGATTACCAATTTTTACAACCTTGGCCGCAACAAAATGGCCTGCTTTGACATAGAAACCTTTGTTGGCATCGCATAATTTTAGGATCCTGTCTGTTGACCGTTAATGAATCTTAAAAACCACAAAACATCAAATTGACTATAACCTTCACACAGCAAGAGCATAAAACCAAGAATTGGAAAACACAAGATAACATTATTGATGAAAGATCGTTTACCAATCACTGAAAAAAATGGCCTGCAAGAAACTTATTTTGACAACGAGCAACATGTTTGGGTATTTTATTAATATGATTTTAGTGTGAGAAATTAAATCTATTAAAGGATCTAAATATTGTCACTAATGTATTATGATCTACACACTAGAATTACAAGAATCAAATAACCAATACATATATAAATTGTACCTATTCGATCGAAATTATCAATTTTACCAGCTATCTGGTTATAGACAACATGTTGTTCATGACGGTGAAAAGTAAGAGCAAGTAAATGCAAGAAGA